GCGCTTTGCTCAAGTAGTAAGTGAGCAAAGTGCGCGTAGTAATTGCGATCTAAATACCAGATAAATTTATTAGAAAACATAGTATGGTGATAATAATCCGGGAAAAAAATTTAGACAAGTTGAAGAAATGCCATACAATTTACAATATTTCGTCTTTCTCCTATGACAGGAAGTAATTAGGCAAGGTACAAGAAAAAGAATAAAAGCACTAAAAAAACTATCTAAATGAATGTCGTTAAGCATTCGAAAAAACTTGTTGAGTTTATAAATGAGAAAGGTAGTATAAATTTTGGATTCGAAACGTCAAAATGAATAGCTATTTAGCTCAAACCTTAGGTCGAAATTTATTTTTAAGACCTGGACTAAATGAACAATTTAACCATGCAGCAGAGAAAGTTCAGAGAAAAGAAATAGTGCGAGAAATTGGATTTGATACAACTTAAGGTATATCAAGTACATGATCAACTGTGAGGGAAAGCAGCAAAAAGAAATATTTATCTGAAAAAATTCCCATTAGGAGATCTGAGTAATGTACCCATCCATAAATGCCCTTTTGGCTAGATTAAAGAAAAGAGAATAACCAAATAAGTATAAGCAAAATTTAGGAAATAAGAAGTGTCAAAAGTCAAAAGATGAGGAATAAGAAAAAAAGAATAACGGTGAATACAGACAAATATGGCGCTTGACATAAGCACAATTGATTTAATAGATGAATTCATTTTTGAAATGAGGCTATAATAACCAATTTAGTTAAGTGCAAATCCCAACATCGACAATTCCGGAAGTGAATCAGGCAAATTAAAGATTCAAGCATTTTAGCAAACCCAAAAAGCACAGGATAACCCTATGGAATAAACTCACGTTTTTATTTGGATGAGCAAGAAAATTTAGCAGGAATTCAACGATCGAGGCTCGATCATTTTTTCCTGAAACCGTACATTCTAGTGAAGTATCAACAAAGAGGGCAAATGCAGCGCGCATCAGGTCAACCACTAGACCAATGATAAGGAAGTCGGCTATTGAGTTATTCAGGAGGCGAGGTGAGAGAGGATAGATTTGAGAATCGAGTGGTAGTGAATCCCGGTTCGGTTGCAAATGAAATGTAAGGCCAGGGTCGCCTAGAAGACAACTGGGCAAAATAGCTCGTAGAAGCACCAACAAATCTGCGGGCGTCATAGAAAAGGAAGCTAGAGCCGATATAAATTGATCATGGGAACTTGAAATACTAGGCGAAAAAGAACCAGCTAAGTCTATCGCCCCTCCAATCTTCACAGAATCGCCTGGCTCAGGAAAGACGATAGGTTGACAGGAAGCAGCATACAATAGTCGAGAAAAGTGACCCAGGAAGCGAGCAAGCTGGACTGACCAGACCTCCGGACCCTGAGTGCTGGAGGAGCTCGTCGCAAGTATCAGATGAGTTGATAGGCGGTCATGGGCTTGAGCCAACGCAGTATGCAGTATACGAATGATTAAGGGACGAATAAGTGGAATCTTGGTTGGAGCAGGTTTATCTGCAGTAGAATACGGAGGTGGAGGAAGAGTAACCACCAGAAGTGCAGCCAAGTGGCGGATAAGATGACGAGAAAATAGAAGAGCAGTGTTAGGTTCACTCACGAGTCGGCCACTCGTAAAATGAGAGTCAGGATTGTTTAGTTCGCTGTAAGGATATCGGCCAAAGACGAAGAGGCTGGATACCAGATTTATACAAAAGGAATGAAGCTTATCAAGCCGGATTGCAAAGCCGGAAGAATCATATTGAGAGCTTCTAATTTCAGAGGCCGAGAATAATGGGTCAGTTGACAGGATAAACAGAGATTCTAGAGACTAGCAAAAAGAAAAATTTTAAAAATTATTTATTAAAAAAAGATTGCATCAACTTAAATATGGTAAAAAGTAATCAAGCACAATCACCGATATATATATATATATATATAGTTTAGAAGATATAACGAAGGTGTAAAATAATGATGCTTTACAATTCGAAAACGTATCTAAAATGATATTACAACCCTCTACATTTAATGTATCTCGTCCCATTAGTATAAATTCACCATTTTTAGAATCTTACACCAAATCTTTTCTTTCACCCACCTCCGTTATATTGACAAGAGAAGGCCTGTCTGTAATCAACTTCCACGAATTAAAAAACATTTTAGGCACCTCTTGTGTACATATTTTGGTCCGTAACGCTTTATGTTTGCGATAGAACAAAATTTCAGCAGTGATCAGGTCTGACATAGCAGCGACCAGGCAAGTCAGTCTGTAGTCTTGAGCTTTGATCATCTGAGACCAGAGGTGGAATGGAGGATGACCATACTTAGCAAAAGATGATGCAGCCACACAAGCGAGGCTAGGCAAAACATCAACAAGCATTGGAAAGGGAAGAGAAGAGTAAGTCGGACAGCTCGATCTAAGTGGAGTTGTCACGTAGCCGGTGGCCAAGAGACGATCAAGGCGGCGAGGAAGGAGTTGTTCATTAATATCTGATTGTAAAAAATGGAACAAGCAGGTTCGACATAAATAAGATCGATTCCAGATTGTTATTTAAAAAATTATGGAAAGATGTAACTTTAGGAGGTAGCAAAGACTATCGAATTCTAAAGAAACGACAAAATGTTCATGTTAAAGATGATATTTAGAATCGAGTTTTGACGAGTATAGATTAAAATGAATAAAATACTTGATAAACGTATTAACAGGGAAAAGTTGAAGGAAGCAAAAATACAAAATGCCTCATAGATCAATTGACTTAAAAGTGAGTATGATATTAATGCCTAAAATTTCATTATAAGAACCTAGAAATCCGAGGACGCTTAAAAACTCGAATATGACCAAGTGCATCGAAAATAATTTTAAAATAATAAAATTCAGAGCAGTGAATCCTATAAAAGTGCAGATAGTAAAAGTAGAAGCTTTAAACAGAAACACCGATGAAAAATAAATAAAATTAGTCAAATATATGAAGACCAAGATGTTGTGGCCTCTGTTATGGTCGCAGTCTCATTTCGATATATAGAAGTGGGTGGACTTCGGTGTCGCAACTTGGTCTAGTTGTCAGAGAGACTATGTAGAACGAACCTAGTCCGAAGTCGTCTGCCATAGTAGTTGTCATGATTCCCAGCATCTGACAGTATAAGAGTAGCCGATATAGACCATTGTGACAATCAACAAAATCGGCAAAAATAATATTTCTTGAGAATAACTATGCCCTAGGCTTGATTGAAAATAGCATTAGATTAATAAAATATATTCGTAAGT